GGTTTTTAAGAGAATAAAAGTTTCTGCTGAACAAGGCCAAGGTGGCTCCTCAACCATCTCAAGTTAAAGAGCTTTAAATCCCTCCCATCCAGTAAAACTTGACCAGCGACTGGATCATAAAATCTCTCAATCAGAGATATTATAGTGCTCTTTCCTGACCCAGAAACTCCCACAATAGCAACTGTTTGTCCCCCACTGACTTTGAGGCTAAAATTGCTCAATACTAACACTTCAGGACGAGATGGGTAACAAAAATCAACATTTTTTAACTCAATGCTTCCATATACATTGGGTGGCTTCAATGCAGAGCTTTCATCAGGATCAATATTGGGAACACGATCTATAATTTCAAACACTGATATGAGAGATTTCCGCCGTTTAAGTATGTAAGGAGCCAATCCAAAAGGCTCCACAAGTGCAAATGTCGCAAATGAGAAAACCATGTACTCCTTGAGTGCAGTAGATATATCCATGTAACCACGTTTTATACATATTGCAGTGTACCAAAGTAGCAGGGCATTACAAGCAAAAAGTAGAAACTGTGAAAAGCCAAATGCAAAACCAATTGCCATCCCATGAAAAAAGCTCTGCTTAAATATCTTCTTTAATTGCAGCCTATAGAGCTCCATTACCTTATTACCAGCACAAAAAGCCACAACAGTGTAAATATTTCTAACTGCATCTTCAAGAACCAAAGATGCCTTTCTGTGCATTTCCTGGATGCCCCTTGAAAATCCAGCAAGCCAAAATTTCTGCAATATTCAAGCAGACTGCAATTAATATGACTTTTATGAAGAAGATTAAAGTAACTCGACCAGTCTCCTATTATTCTTAGCAAGCTTTAGCAAGTCATTCGTTAATTCACATAATTAAAAGATCAATAAAACAGAATCCCATTGTATTATCTCACTTTTAAAGATCAGGTCCATTAATTAAATAACACTCAATGAAGTAAATTAGACTTCCACAATGATTGACAGTGAACTCAATGCCAATGCGAAAGGGTGAACTAGCATTCGTTCATGTTATCATTGATGCTACAAGGAAAAAATATAACAAAACATTTATACAATTTCTTTCCAAGGACAAAATGTTGAATTTGATGAAGAATAAAATTAGTCATAAACACTGCCAAATTAAGCTCAGTTTAGATAAATAATATTAGAGTATGCTCTGTTATTTTTTGTTTTATGTAGTGCTACGCTGTAAGCTAACTGTCAACTAACTATTAGGTTTCTGTTAATATTCAGTTGTAACCACCCTAGAAACTGACAGCTGGTTTCTGTTATAATTCAGAAGTGACTAAGCAGTGGGTTACTGAGAGGCCTAAAGAAGTTTATGTAACACTCATAATATACTGTTTTTGATCCCAAACCATAACCTTAAATTCTCTCTCTCCCTCCTTCCCTCTCTCTCTCCTTTTGTTTATGAATCTACTCTTATCCTAGCTGCACTAATAACAATTAATAAGCTAACCAAAACATCAAGATATATTATAGTTATATTTACTGCAAGGACATGGCTATTTCAACACCAATGTAAAAATAATCACAACAGAATCCATGTTGAATTTTCATGCAGGAGCAGGACACACAAAAATGAATCTAAAAAAGGGAGACTTGGTGCATCAGGCTCCCACCAAAATGGGGTCTGGGGAGGTAGGTCTAAGTAGCACTACCATACCCCTATAAGCAGAGAGGTGTTTTCAACCAACAACTTAAGCTTTTGGGATAGCTGAGTCATGACAATGGAAAATAGTTATATTTCAGCATGTGCAAACCTGGGCAATGGCAGAAACACACAGAATTGGAAGGGTTGCAAAAGCCACAAGTGCTAACCGCCAGTGCAGCAAAGCACCAATTAAAAGACCAACAATAACTGCAGCACTGTCCTGTATAAATATGGATAGTCTGTTGCTAAAAGCAGCTCGTACAAAAGTAGCATCATTGGCCAATCGCATGGACAAATTGTCAGCACTGTTTTCCTCATCATCAAACCATCCCACCTCATTGCGTAGCATGGCTGCCATTATTACCGAAACAGATTAAGTAATGTTCAAAATTATAAATTTTTTAAAAGAAAAATACAGCGAAAGAGGAGTTATGAACCTGAGAACATCATTCTCCTAACTCTTTCTGTCATTTTCTCTCCCATAATACCAAAGTAGAA